GGGGCCGGGGGTGCCCGAGTCGGCTCCGGCGACGTCCCCGCAGAGGTGCCGTTTTGGGGTCCCGGGTACCAGGGTTTGGGGGGGCTTCAACAGCGCCGCGAGGCTTGGGTGTGATTTTAGGGACCTGGGCGTGATTCTGGGGCTACAGGCATCATTTTGGGGACCAATCTGGGGCCAGGAGCACTGGCGCGAGCAGTTTTGGGGACAGGTTTGGGGTCTCGAGCTCAACTCGAGCATCACTTTGGGGACTGTTCTGGGGACCTGGGCGCTATTTTGAGGTCTCAGGCTCCGACTTGAACATCACTTCAGGGACCATTCCAGGGTCACGAGAACTGACCCGGGCACCGTTTTGGGGACCGTTTTGGGATCCCGGGTACCATTTTGGGATCCCAGGTGTCAACTCGAACATCACATCGGGGACCATTTCGGGGTCACGAGAACCGACTCGGGCACCGTTTTGGGGACCTGAGCATCATCTTTGGGGACTGTTTTGGGGACCTGAGCACCCCTGGGCGGGGGGTGTCGGGGGGGCTCACCCAGGTTGACGGTGAGCTTCATGCGTCCCCCATCCAGCTCGAGGCGCAGCGTGTCGGCCGACTGGCGGGAGGTGGTGGCCAGGACGAGGCCGTAGGCGCGGGGGGACATGAAGCGCAGGGCCACGTCCTCCGCCTCCGTCTGCGCCGCCCCCGGCACCAGGATCTTCAGGTACATGCTGCCGTCGTAGCTCAGCACCGCCGCCTCTGCGGGGGGACCCCCCCGTCACCACCGACCCGCGTGTTCGGGGGGACAGCCCCCTCCCGTCATCATAGACCTGGGCATTCAGGGGGGACCCCCCCCCCGGCACCGCGGACCCCCAGGCATCCGGGTACCCCCATCTCCAGGGAACCCAGGCACGGAGGTGCCCCCCCCACCCCAGGGGACCCAGGCACGTGGGGGGTTCCCCCCTCCCCAGGGGACCCCCACGCATCTGGGCGCCCCCCCTTTCCCAGGGGACCCAGGCGTCTGGGTATCCCCCTTCCCCAGGGCCACCTGGGGAGGCACCTGAGCATCTGGGGGGGACCCCAGGCATGGGGGGGGGGGACGACGACTCCCTCCCCCAAGGTTGCCCCTCTAACCCCGTGGGGGACCCAGGCATCCCGGGGGGAACCCAGGCATCTGGGTACCCCCTTCCCCAAGGGTCTCAGCCAGCCTGGTACCCCCCCCCACAGGGCCACCTCCCCGGGG